GATCATATTTTCTTGACCTGGTAAGGACTCTAGCCGCTGCATTTTGGACCACCTGTAGCTTGTTTATTGAAGATGCGGGACAACCAGCTAGCAGTGCATTACAATAGCATATCCATCAGTGACCTTCTGATTCCTTACTCTCCTCAAAGAGCACTTAGGTCATTTTTATATGACTTGTTTGCATTATTTAAGTACTATTTTATTTGATCTTATTTAAATTTTTTTAAGGCAATAGATTTTTTTGCTAACGCTTTACAAAGGAACAATTTTTAAAGTCTTATTTGTTAATGCATTAATTAACATGAACTAACAGGGAGCAATTATTGTTATTATTATTATTATTATTAAGTTAAAAGTGAATCTAATGTTCTTTAGCATTGCTGGTGCCATGCCATGAACCCTAACCTCCACAGCAAACAGAATCAAACCCAACCGTGGCTTCAAAACCGTGATATGAACCGAACAGTGGCATTGGTATATCGTTACACCCCAACTGTTCATTACCGTGATATATCGTATTATTGTATATTGGAACATGTCTAGCACTGTATCTGTGCGTCAGTTTTTTTCACACTTCACTGCCGTAAAGGACAATTGTCTCCATCTCTGATTCTAATGGGAATTTCTGTGGCACATGCTGTTTTTTGCCCTGTGTGCTTCATCTCTGTTCATTTACAGGTTTAAAGGTTCCTGTGACTTTAACTCTTAGTTATACTGTGATGAGTGAGTTATCCTGTTAGTTCCTAATGTGAATGTGTTCTTTAAGATCTGGATTTCTTTTGGAAAATCAACATTTTTTCTTCTCTCTAATGCAAAAAAGTTCTTCAATGCAGTTTTCCTAATTTTTCCCACATTTTGTATCTATTTAGAGTGAAATTGTTCACCATGTTCAACCATTACCATTTTTTCTTCTTTCATGAGTTCACACTTACATATAATTGGATTGAGCAAATAGTAAGCATATTTGGCGTGCTGTGCTGAGGGAGGGCTCTGAGCTCGGAATATAGCCGAACCCAGAGAACTCCCCCAATCCCTAGTATGGGATGGTAATATATTAATAGTGAGGAGCTGGGGTGGAGGAGGGATGCCAGAAAACTGTCATGGAGAGGCAAGTTGGCTGTATATGTACTGAGACAGTTAAGCTGATTATCTAAACGAGTTCCACCTGTGCCGAATTGGTTGATTATCTGATTGTGCACCTCCCTAACCTTGTTAATAAAACGTCATTTAGTTTACCCCATTACTCTAACAGCAATACATAAATAAATAAATAAATAAATAAATAAATAAATAAATAAATAAATAAATAAATAAATAAATAAATAAATAAATAAATAAATAAATAAATAAATAAATAAATAAATAAATAAATAAATAAATAAATAAATAAATAATAATAATAATACAACTAAATAAATAAAAACTCAAAATTCAAGTTTATCAATATTTTGGGCACAATTTATTAACTTTAGAAGCAAATATGTTTAAAACAGGTGGGCAGTTCCACAGAAATGTCATCCATAGATGATGGTTCGTTTAGGTCTGTATATGTTAAACTATTATGGATTTTTGAAGTAAACCGCATCAATTATCCAGCACACATTTCATGGCTTCAAAAGTGGGGTCATTGATTAGTTCTTGATTTTGGTTCTGTACACATGAATTCAGGTTTTATATAAACATGCTGACATTACCTGATTATTTCAAAAATGCATTTGGTTGTAATACATATAAATAACCAAACTGTCTTTGCAGAAGCGCTCAGTAGCGCCATGACTTTCATCTGCAGTGTGAATATGGCCTTGATATGAGAAGCATTGATGTCAATAAGCAGTTTCCAACAAGACAAGATGTGTGAGATATATAAACTCACCTCGTCACCGCTTTTTGAAATGAATGAGAGTGACATTTGTGGAGTCACATGTGTATTCACAGATGCACTGATGATGAGCAAATAGTTGTGATCTTTTACTGGAAACAGTCGTAATTCTGTGTCGGGACGTTTGCTTTAGTTCAGAGGTGATGGATGTCATTCAGATGTCAGTCATGATGCTGGAACTGCTCGAGGCAGCATGTTTTAAAGCGGCTGCTGGAATCGCCTCGATTTATTTGATGTCTGTCTGTCTGTCTGATCTGTCTGTGGTTTCGGGCTCGCGCGTCATCAAGGCGAATCCTCCCGCCCCTCGAGCGCAGCATCAGTCCGCGCTGTTCTCGCCCGCCGCTCGTTCATCCTCTCTTTGCAGTCAGCTTGAATTCGACAGAGATCAGAATCAGGACATCGTTCGCAACAATCGATCACGCTCGCTTTTAGCTGTCCGCGCCCTGCTGCGGTGGAATGCCCCAAACGCTGCGCGCTCCTCCACGGACACCGAAGAGCAAACGGAGGAGCGGTTCTTTGGTCCTGAAACGGCGTTAGAATCACCATTTCGGGTATTTTTGGGATCTCTCAGCGACATCTGAAGCGGGGACCATGACGGCCACCAAAGAGCAGCAAAGCCAGAGACCGAATCCGCAGGACGAGGTAACGAACGGCATCTTCATACGTTACACAGTGTTTACAAAAAATACGTTTGTCCGCATTTTCTCTTATTTGTAACGTTTTTTCCCGAATCCGGTGAGTATCAGGTAATGGATCGCGCGCACACGAACCCAACGCCCGTGCCCGTTCTGTCCGCACATTTATGACATCACGTCAGCTTTCGGTGAACATGCAGAGAACATATAAAGCAGCTCGGGTTTCTTTCGTCTCCAGTGAACCCGTTTGTGCTCGTGATTGTAGTTTTGTGCACTCTAGCGCCCGTGACCAATGGACCTGTTCAGGCCGGCAGTGATGCAGTGATGCCAATACAATCACGAGAGGACGCTGGATGAAGAGCGACGCGTTTCGGGCAGGTGCTGCTGGATAACTGACTGTGCTGATGACTGCGTTAAAACACCAGTCTCTGGTTACCGGAGCTGATTTGTGGCAGTTGTCGCATAATGTGTGAAAGGTTTTAGTTTGTAATCTATATGAATGTTTAAAGGGAAGGGTTCATCCCAACTACCTGCTGTGTCGCTGTTCGTTTCATTAGTATTCCATCATTTTAGTTCATTTTAAATAACAGATGTCCGACGACAGAAGTCAAGTCAGCTTTATTTCTAAAGCGCTTTATACAATACTGATTGTGTCTAAGCAGCTTTAAATAGTTTGTCAATAATGCAAGAAGACAATAATTCCAAAAATTCCAGCTAAAGTCAGTTCATTGATTCAGTAATGTCATCATCCAGAAGTACAAATATTCCATGTAGTCTGACAGTTAAAATAAAATCATAACATCTGCATGTTTAATATTTATAAAATTTAATATTGTTTGAAAATAATTTGTGTTATATATTGTAATATTTTTGTTTTATATAACTACCCACACTGCCTCATATAAAAGGTAAAAGTGTGAGGGCACACAGACAGAGATGCTTCATTCGTTCATCATCAATCACAGTTTGTTCTTTTGTGGTATTTTTATTCAGTGTTAACGTGGTTTTTATGGCAAACGTTTGTAACCTAAATAAGCAGCTGCATGTGTTTCATCTGTGGAATCTGAGTCCAGTCGTGCAGACGTGTCGCTGCAGGGTGTTTGTGTTTGACAGCTGTGCTTGTGTCTTCATCACATTCATCGCTGGTGTCTCTCACACGCTCATGCAGAACTGTGAAAGAGAAACACATTTTCTGCTAGTCTGATATAGCTTGCAGTACCTGAAATTCAGCTATTCTAAATTTAAAAATTCTGCCTGCTGTGAAATTTAGTGCAGATCAAAAGATGCAGCTTTGTTCTTTTTTTTTATTGAAAATGCTTGTTAGTCTTCATTTTCACAGCTGGCCTTCTGATGCACAACCATGATTGCTTTAATTATGGGCATTTTAATGTAGAAAATGAGGCATTTATTGGAATGATTGACTGGCAGAGGCAACTGTTAAGATTCTTTCATGAATGTTTCCAACACAAGAATATAAATAATTCATTCCTTTGGTGCTATTCACGCCAGGGATGATCAGTCGCTGTACATCGCACCAACGTATTTTTCTTCGTCCGATGATGAGCATATGCCGATTAGTAAGATTTGAGCTTTTGATCATGTTTCTCAAGCCTCAATGGAAGAAATCTGCGTGAAAATGGTTCTTCTACCGGCACAAAGCCTAGTCTCTCAAACACACTTCGGTTTTTCTATAACTGGTCAGGCTGAAAGAATATTGGAAAGTGTGCAGTAACATTCAGAATAGAGCTTAGCTATCGATTATTTTAGTAATCGAGTATTCTACAGATTATTCCATCGGTTAATCGAGTAATCGGATAAGTCATTTTTCTTTATTAAAGAGCAATACTAAATATACAAGAGATAATAAGATAGATCTCTTAAAATAAACAACTAATTTGTTTTCTTTTTAGAAAAATTAAAATGTTTATTGCTGAAATGGCATACATTAATAACCGTGAAAACTAAACCCATTTAATGTATTTAATTGCCAAATTGTATTCAAAATGCAAATACAAATATATCAATAAAAAAATAAAATAAATAAATAAAAATACAAAAATCAATTTCACATTACTTTAAAAAAGGTAAACAGTACAAACTAAAACTAAGGCATAAATTAAAATAATAGTAATAAAAATAATAATAATACCTAAACATTGCATTTATGTCGTGCAACTTAACTTTCAAGTTTCAGCCTAACTAAAGCTCAAGCATGACATGAGCCTTTACTGTCTTCTTCGAAGGCTTTGTGGCTTTTGTGAGGCAAACATCAGTGGAGAGGAAGGTAACTTGGAACAAGAACAAGAGACCATACACAATTTTTAAACACTTTTTTCTGCAACATGAAATTAGAGTTGTCTGGAGAATAAACCCTCTTAAATGTCCCTATACGTACTGGTGTGTATGTGTGTGTGTGTGTGTGTGTGTGTGTGTGTAAAACTTGTTTTTGATATCCTTCATATTCTGTGTGCGGGTCA